GCTGCAGATTTACAAGATTTTATATAAAAGCTATTTTAACATAAATGAAGAGAAGCTCTCTGCTAAACTCCGTGACTTTCTAGACCCGGGTCAAGAATAGGTGCTTTTTTCCAGATCCTTGCTGCAGTAAACGATATAGATGAGGAATGAGTCCCCCCTGGTGGCTTAGACAGACAGACACATGGGAAAACCTCTCTAGCCTCTCCTGTTCCTTATTGCACAAGTCAAGATTATTTCAATGCTTTAAAAAATCAGTGTAACTAGGCTCCATTTCAAAAGGATCTGGCTGGCTAATGGGAAAATAGGAACAATAAATCTTACTGGTATCAGGGCTAAAATATCACTTATGACAACGATTATAAAGTCTACAACCCTGACCATCGTGTTTGGTCAAATTGTCCTTAAATCAAAATAACCTCAATCATTTTAAAATCTTTTCAGCAAATTCAGTTCTAGATCCTTGTGTCTTCCGATGCCCGTACCGATGCCATTCATAGAAGTGACCTCTTGTGATGCTCACTGAAGCCCCCAACTAGTGCACTAGAGGTATGAGGAGTCTGCTCTGTCCCTTTCAAGTCAGTATGAAGGGCACTGGAGAGGAAGGACATAAGCTTCTATATATTTATTTTTACTAAATAATCTTTCTTTATTATAATCTTTCTTACATACTCTGATCCAGAAGGAAGGTGAAAAGGAGAGAAAGAGAAGTGGAAAGAGCTACACAAATAAAGCATTACTTTACTAGTTTTGTGACAATTTACTTCATTTGTTTTGAAATCCTTTGCAACTACATTTAGCAGGGACCAACTCTCACATCCAGTTAACAGTACATAAAATAAATCCAAGTCTAGAGAATTTAGGACTTCATACCTATGACTTTTCATTTTGTCTACATCTGAGATGCTGAGAGTAGAAGTTCAACTCCAAGCCTGATCACTGATTTGTGGTTAAAATCTTACACTAATTTATGGTATTTTCACCTTCTTTCTCGAAACATCTAAAAAATGCCTAACTTACTTGTGATTGCCTTCCAAAATAATCACTTTGTATTTGGATTGTTGGCTGCAGATGAGTACTTTGACCAGATAAGCACTTATAAATCACTGAAATCTCCCTCAGGAAAGATGTATAGTACACATTATCATAGTATCCCATCACAATAAAATAAATGACAGTATACCAGTACAGCAGAGGAAAGTACTCCGTTTCAAAGTGTTAGTCAGAGAGAATTAAAAATTATGTCCTAGTTCTTGGCATGTACCAAAACCTCACATTAATGGAAAACTCTTTTAAGATGTTAAACACATTTATTCAATAAAGAAAGAGGCAATAATAATTTAATTTTCCTTGCAGGACCATTTGTGACAGTTTTTGAAGTAGATCTTTTTGCAGCTGGAAGCAGACATGTTTATTACTTCTGATCCTGGGTTTAGGGCTGCTGCTGAAGACACTCTAATATAAAGGGGCTATATATAAGGCATAAAGCATGTATTCACAACACAAACACGCACTTGGCACTCAACACAAAAAGTAGAAAATTGTAGCAATTCATGATCAAATCTTTCTTCTCAAATCTTCTCATCCTATCCTTGACAATGTTGATAGTGGAATTAGGAAGTCAAGCCCAGGGATACTAGAAAGAGGTAGAGGATTCAGCTCCTCTACATGCAGCTGATGGAAGTACTTGAGGGTGCCAGGGGAGTCCAACCCAAGAGCAGTGCACCAGCACATATCCAGCGGTGAGCTGGTAGCATTTGAGTAAGAAAGCAAATAGTTGTGGAAAGAAAGAAAAAGTGATGTGTATTATTCTGAATATATTTTTTTAAATGCTGTGTGCACTTTGGCTTAGTGGTTTGATTTGAATATAACACATTAAACCACTGGAGGCTATTAAAGTGAAGCAAATACTCACCAGGTGGTATGCCATGGAAACAATTATGTTGGAAATAACTCTCTATCTGTTGCCAGTAGACTTATGGTTTATTCTTTCCAAGCCAAGCTGAAGAGTAAAGCTTATAGTTATACTCTAAAGTATACATTAAACCATTAAAGTTGTCAAGAAGAAGAGAAAGCAGAGGGTGAAGGGAGAAGAAAGGGCTGTCCCCTACCTGAGGCTGACAGAAAGCACACCACAGCAACACTGTCCATCCTGGTATTCCAGAAATGAAGACAGCTGGACATGTTTTGCAGCCATTTGCTCGTTCTCTGTTCTTCCCTGCTTAAAACAGCTGCTCGCTGAGGTCTATATAGCTATGGGATAATCTTATTATAGTGGATCCAACTCCTAGCTAGCACACTTGTCCCATTTCTCAGTGGGGTTGCAGCAGGCTACGTTGTACATGCAGGCACGAAGAAATTCGTGGTATAACCACAGAACTCCAGTGCAACCAAATTGCAGCAGCTTACCAAGTTTCCACCTATTAAGTTATACTGAGCAATTGTAATAATTCACATGTGTGCTCTTAATTTTTACAGCACAAACAGAATTTCATGAAGTTTCCATCACCTAAATTAGGCTCTCACAGTACTGTCCAAAATCTACTTAGATTTTCTTCATCTTTGCCAGTGTGATGACTCTGGTTTGTAATAAAGCAAGCTCCAGTGAAATTAGTTACCTTTTGATTCTAGAGAGTGTGGTTAAGAGTATGAAGTACTTCAAAGCTTTAAAGATTTCTCTTTAAAGTATCAAAAAGGGATAATTTTCTCATCAGAATTTTTTACATTTGCAAGAAAAGGCTGAGGGTTGTGGGATAATTTAATTTAAAAAATAACATTAAAGAATGACAAGAAGCATTGTACTTTATAATGAAGAACAAACAGGGGCTAATGAACAATATTGTGGACAAAGCCAAAAACTTGAGAAAAAGGGAGGACACCAGCAAGAAAACAGCATGTAGTCAAAGACCAAAAAGAAAAATTCACATGTATCCTGTCTGTTTTCCTAGGGAAAAAAGCAGTCATCTATGACCTTTTGTGAAAGCTGTGAAGGCTGGGAAGGGATAGGAAGCAAGTGTCTAGGAAAGAGGCTTGAGTCGTTTCATATGTTCCTGCTCTTCACACCAGACGGAGTGAAACTGGTACCAGGATAAGATGCGAGACCCAGCTGCTAGGGACAAGTGATTTGTTGGTACTGGAAAGACTGCAGGAGCTGCCAACCTTCATAGTAGGTGTAGCCTTGCAAATAAGACAGCTTGTAAATCACGTATTTTAGAAGACACGGCTTCTACATCAGTATTTTCTCCACGTGTATGAGCACATTCTCTAGGTCTTATAAATTAATTGTTTCTTCCATGTCGTACACAATTTACCTACTCCCAAAGAAACATCAGCAACTTCCAGGGATGAAAATGTTAGCAGGAAGTAATACATCTGCAATTAGAACTGTTCTTCACCAAGTGTATAAAACTGAAGAAAAATAAACTAGAAGAAAATAGTAGTTCACAAAATTAATGGGATTGTGAAGGATGTGGAGCTAACATAACCAGGCTTTGGGAATTACTTGTTAGCGATCTGTTTACTGAAACACTCACACTACAGTCAATTCTCTTGCAGGATTTGTTAGTAGCAAGAGGGCCTGTTTTGGTTTATGCACATTTCCTAGCTTAGAAGGACACCATACATTTCAGAGCTTCACACTTGAAAATACACTCAGTGCACTACAAAATATCTGTATTAAGACAGACTCTTCAGAACTCAAAGTAAAACAGAAATGCATCTAGAAGTCTTTTTGGATTACATTTCCATTCCTCTATTTTGTTTCTAACGTGAAGAACGAACTACAGTTGTGCGAATACTAGTCTCTACTGCTCTCAACAAGTTCCAGGGTTCTAAACCAGTCACACATGTACAAGTATACCCGAGTACTGTGTTCAGTTTTGGGCCCCTCACTACAAGAAGGGCATTGAGGTGCTGGAGCGTGTCCAAAGAAGGGCAACGAAGTTGGTGAAGGGTCTGGAGCACAAGTCTTCTGAGGAGCAGCTGAGGGAGCTGGGGTTGTTTAGTCTGGAGAAGAGGAGGCTGAGGGGAGACCTTATTGCTCTCTACAACTACCTGAAAGGAGGCTGTAGCAAGGTGGGGGTCGGTCTCTTCTCCCAAGTAACAAGTGATAGGACAAGAGGAAATGGCCTCAAGCTGTGCCAGGGGAGGTTTAGATTGGATATTGGGAAAAAATTTCTTCATTGAAAGGGTAGTCAGGCTGCCCAGAGAAGTGGTTGAGTCTCCATCCCTGGAGGTACTTAGAAGATGCGTAGATGTGGTGCTTAGGGAGATGGTTTAGTGGTGGACTTGGCAGTGTTAGGTTTACGGTTGGACTCAATGATCTTAAAGGTCTTTTCCAACCTAAATGATTCTATGATTCTAAGTACACACTGTAAGTAAAAATTGCAAAAAAACCAAATCTGAGAATCCTGGGATGATACACAAGGACAGACAGAGGTGGAAACGCTAACAGGGATGGGGCCAAAGCCATTCTTATTTGGCAACCATAACAAGTATTATGATTTTAAGGTTTACAACTTGGTTGTTTCCCAAACTGAGTTTGCCAAGGTAGAAGCAAGTAGAATATTGTGCATCTCTAGTAAGTTTGGTCTTCCCTTTCTTTAATATAAAGGTACTATTAGAAGAAAGCTACGGAATTACCATTATTTTCAAGTTGCAGATTGGAAGTATAAAATACATTTGACACTACATCATGGCCAGAATCATCATCTATCTTCTGGTAGAAATCTGGATTTTTAATTTTTTTTTTTAGATCATCTATGTGTCAGAAAGCCACCTCTTAGCTTAACTTGCATTTCAAAGCCAGAAGAGAGAGAGAAGAAATAATGTTTAACTTTCATACTTTTTTTGAGAAACTTAGCCACTGGGATGGAAACCTCTTGCTATTGCTGCTTAAATCAGAATCAGCCAAATCTCAAATATAACAGTGAAAATTTTCTGCAGTCAAAAGAAAAGGCTGAGGATTTTGATATTGCTCAAGAAGTATATAATTTTTGGGCCTTTCCTTTACCTTCTCTTGCAAACTCAATTTCTTGTTCTCCCAGTATTTGGTATTTAAAGATGAAGTTATCTTTATCTGCAAGCACAAGAAGAGAGTGAATGCATCAGACACAGAAAGAATGGAAAGATGATTTTTAATTAGGTGTAAAACATCATTTCAATAAGAACAAGTAGTACAACCAGATGATCTGAATTGCTTGTTACTGGCCTCACATCCTCAATATCATTTATGGATTTTATTTTTTTTACATTATTGTTACCTATTAAGTGATACTGGCTTAATGAGGCTAGATCAGGCTTTTAAAATTATAGCTGTGCCAACACAAAAGAATTGCCTGAAAAATATCTGGATGGGATGATTTGCCTTTTAATTATTCAGCAAGTACAATTAGAGCAGTTTCAACACTCAGAAAAACATTTAAAAACACTGATGTTTTAATATGACCTATAGTGTCATCCTATGACAGTAAACTGAAATAATAGTCTTGGAAGACATTTAAATACATTTTTTCAGCTAGAACTTTGGAAACATCTCTAAAGGTAGCTATAATTATTTTTTCTTTATTTACAGTATCAAGATGACAATTAGTAGCAAGCATCAGATTTATTTATTACAAAGGGCACTGCTAATACAAAAGGATTAATTTGAATTTTGCTTTTTTTTTTAATTCAGTAATTTTTAAGTCTCAAAATATTTAGGCCCTTCATGATTTGAAAACAAGTATCTGTCAGTTATATAAACATTTAAATCCAATTTCTGCATACTCAGAGTGCAGAACTAACCAGTCTAGTCACATGAAAAGATCTAATCCTCTTTTTACTTGAGCTAAAGGTAGCTTTCTTTGCAGTGCTAAAAATCAAGAGGTATGTTTTTTAAAGGCACAAGATCTAAACAGTACTCTACAGGAGACTCCCTTTTGCTTCCCCACCTTACATAAATACTGACAGAGTCCATTTTAACCACTAGCTGCTGGTATTTTTCTTTAAGTTGCTTCAAATACAGCACATTTTCAATGGGATATTCGCAGAGCAAATCTTATGCTAAGGTGTCTCCCCCCGCCCAACAAAAGAGAGGCTTCTTGTTCTCCACCTCTGGGGCCAGGGTTGCTCAGAGTGGGACTCTAGCTTAAGAAACCATTTAGTAGCTGTGAGTAGCTAGAGATTATTGCAACACAGCCATTCTCCCTATCTTCTGCAGAAGCTCGCAGGCCTCTAGGAGGCTGCAACATGAACTAGCAAATACCTGTCTGCTTTCTGTAGAGTCCTCCTGGCTACTGATGCTCTCACAAAGGGAAGTCAAAGCCATCTCCACTCCCTTTATACCGCCAGCAGCATTGACGAAAAAGCCTGATCTTTTTGGATTAAGTACAATTAATCTTTAAGGCTTAAAAGCTTAACTATGTACTTGACAGGTAATGAGTATTGATTTTTTTTTCTATGAATGGTTCCTTTTGAAAGAGATGGTGAGATTGCCGCACAGCCCATGCATTTTACAGTTCTCCTGGATATTTAACAATAAAAATCAAGCCAAGAACAAACAAATCCAAGACACATCTAAGCATTTTTTTTTTTACTATGTTGTGTCATTAGCTCTGAAGAAACCCTTACATTGTTTACAAGTTTTAAAAAAATGGGGTTTTTTTATACATTCCAAAATGCATTTGGGGAACTCTAGCTATCTGATACTTAAGAAATTGTAATAGAATTTTACATTCTTTCACATGTATATCACTGCACCACGAACAATGATAGTGACATTCATTATCTTCAAATTATTTCCTTTCATCAGCTTCGTTCTCCTCCTCTAAGTTAAAATAAAAGGATTTGTCATAGCCCATGAGATGGTTATAATCCTGAGGATTCGGGAAAAGTGAAGGATTAACAAGCATTGATTTTGTTTTAGCATAAAATGTTGTAAACATCTTGGTGATGTCTGGAATCTTTACATCTTTCTGATGGAAAACAGTTGCTTTTTCTGCCAAGATTGCATTGTATGTAATGGCTGTATATGTGTCCACTTCATCTTTGTAATAGAGTCGAATCACATAGCCTTTTGTAAGGACATGCAAAGTAACCGGTGTTACAAATGTAAAAAACCCGATCAACCCATAAAAGGCAGCTTGTATAAACAGGCTTTCAAATCCAATACCAGTTTTGAGCATGATGTAGGGCATCATGAACAGGTTGAATATGCTGGTGGAATAAGAGAAAAACCTCACACCTACACAAAACAAAACAAAAGAAAGGTTAATACTTATGAGTAAAATTATCTCTACAGTTACATATGTTCTGCTACTATATACTGATGGCATTACTTGAACAGCTGAAGTTACTGAAAATCTACTTTCCCCCCCTTTTTTTAAGCTCACAAAGAAACCATTGAAACTTCAACCCTGTCTTCTTGCCACTGTTCTGGTTTGTTTATATGTTCATGTTGGCTTCATCAAAGCTGGTAGCTGGCTCTATTTCTATGATGAAGTCAGTTATTAGCTATTATGCACACCTATGAAGTTTTCACTTCCCAGATAGGAAACTGATTTCAAAAGAAATTTGACTCATCACGGACACGCATAATGGTAGCCATCACAGATATGACTGGGAATTTCTCTCTTCCTCAACAACTAACGTTGATGTTCAGTGTGCATTACAAAGAGGCTTGCCTGGTCCCCCACCATATATAACTTGAAAACCCTAGGTTATTCAGTATTCACAAGTACCCCACAGCTATCTTGCATGCAGCTTGAGGGACAGCAGCCAGTGTTGTGGACCACCCACAGTCCTTAAGCCACCATGAGAACCAGTAGTCCAAGATGCTGTGATAATTAAGTATGTTAAGGCATACTTCCTCCTTCTTTAAGACACATTTCAAAAATGTCTATCAGAAAACATCCAGTAGATGATTACTTTTCACTAGGTCTTTGTAACATTAACTGGTCAAACAAAGATCAACAAAGTCTCATTACAGATAGTGCATTTCATCATAGCATCTGTCTACTTCAGAAACATTTCAGTAACATTTGAAAGCATACAGAACGTAAATAGCAGTTACAGCTAGTCTTTGTTTGCTACTGGGTTGGGCAATGCACTCCGAAGGCTGCAAGAGAAACAGAAGGAGGCTGAGAGGTTACAGAGATGCACAGTACCTGCAGAACTCCCCGCAGACCTAAGTGTAGAAGCAGAAACCAAGCACCACCACCACATTTTTTTTTGCTGTACACAGGATCCAGGTTTCAGCAGAGTTGGAAAGGAGACCATTCTCTTTTATAATGCTGCATTTTAAAGTTATTAAACACTAGTAAATAAAAAAAACCAATACAAGTCACTTCAAATCACATACCTAATACTGCCTTCGCCAAATTTCCTTTATAAACTAATCTTCCATGTTCTGGGTGTTCATGAGGGGAGGATGTGCAGAGGCTGCGAACAGCCACTCCTCGAAAAGATGTAACCTGAAAGATGAAAGCAGTACATGGGCAAGAAACATCAGTACCAATCTAGACTTTATATATATATATATATACACACACACAGGTATATATACACACACTAAGTTTCTCCTTGCCCGGAACCTATTCCCAGCATCTTAAATTAGGGATTAAAGTTAGGGGATACTACAAAGCACGCCACAAACTCCAGCTAATATACTGCTTGACTGCTTTAATAATCTTCCATTTAGATATCCCAAATCCGCATTAAATATTTGCAACCCCACTGAGGAATATTAAGCTCGCCATCATTTCACCCGCGGCTTTGCAGGCAGACATTCACAGCCCCCGCGCTTGCCAGGTCTCCGCTTGATCTCAGCTACGCCCTGAGTGGAGCCTCCCTTCCCTCCTTAGATTCGCTTTTTTCGCAAGGAAAAAGCGGCGAATCCGAGCGCTGCCGCCTCCCCCCGCCCCCCGTGGAGCGGGGCCGCATCCCCTCACCGCCACCACCCACGCAACCTG